TATATGTGGACCTCGCGATGTTACCAGGTCCCACCACTTTTTGATGTCCTCCACTTTTCCTGCTCCTGTGAGGTCATCAGCATATGCCACTTGTTTGACCCCAGTTGTTTCATACTTTATTTCTTGTTGGAGCACTGATAGGCCTATTGCATACATTGCCATTGCAACGGGGTCCCCCTGTGTTGTTCCCTCGGTCGACTGTAGGATGGTATCACCTCGTAGAGCCTTGTTGTTTACTATGTAGAGGTCTGAAGGATTCCTATACGAATTTTCAACATACATCGCAAAGCTAGGACACTTGATCTTGATGTTGTGCAGTGCAGCCTTGCGGTTAAGTATGTTGAATGCGTTTGAAGCATCCACCAGAAGAACGGCCTCACAATCACGCTGCTCAAATATCAATCTCATGGCGTGAATGGCCGCCTCCCCACCAGCCTGGTGGCCAGCACACACTTGTAGGTTCCCTGCTGCTGCCCTGTCATCATCCTTTACCACCTCCATTATACTACTACTACTACTATTACTACTACTACTACTACTACTACTACTACTACTACTACTACTACTTTTTTTTTTTAACGTGGCCTTCAGCCTCCCCCAATAGCCACACCTTCGCCGCCATTTATTTACCTTAATATTTAATATCCTAATACATAAGAAGCTATCCTATCTGTGTTAAATTAGTTGAGCCGCAGATCTATGCGGCATTCAGTGACTGTAGCCTCATAGTCAATATCTGCAGCAGTTGTCGGAGTAGGGGCAGAAGCTCTTGTTCCCCTGAGGCAGAGCAAAGCCGACCGAAGGAGAGAGAAGGACAGTCGACATCTCATCCAGGCTGTAACGTAACTTCTGGGCTGCTGCTTCTGTTCGGAGATCAGCTCCGCGAGTCTGGCGTAGAAACATCTTGCACTTGGGCCCATCCCACCAGAAGTTGTGAACACTAGCGGAGTGAAGCTGCCTTGATCGACATTTTGAATTCTCTCCCCATATGCCCTTCTCTTGTCGTTCTCGTTCCTCCTATGTGCAGCATCGAGAGCTAGGTTACGGTGACAAACGGCCATGGGATCAAAAATCCTGATGTCGAAGAAAGCTCGCTGTCCCCGCGTCCAGAATCCTCGAGCACTGACGTCCACACGGGCTTCGTTAGATGTGTTTGAAGTCCTGTGTTGGAAGATCTCGCCATCCAGTGGAAGGAGGGTCGGTTCTACCATGACGTCCCGGCAGATTTCCTTCAACATATTTGCTGTGAGATCCCTTACTACTACTACTACTACTACTACTACTACTACTACTACTACTACTACTACTACTACTACTACTACTATTATTATTATTATTATTATTATTATTATTATTATTATTATTATTATTATTATTATTATTATTATTATTAACTACAGAGGTAGTTGCTCTTTTGGGGATATTTGCAACATTGTGTCGTTAAACCTAAGTCTACAGCTCTCATGATATTTTTCATTATTTTTCCTCAATGTCTCTACAATACCATCTCCATCATTTAGTCTTTCCATATCAAGCCTTATTGGAAGGGCTTTGGCTGAGTTGAAAAGAGGAATAATCTTGACTATTTTGCTGTAGCCATTTTCCTTTCTTCTAGTAGGGCTAGTCTTTGGATATTTAAGTTCTCCCTTCTTATCTTCTTGACATAGACAGCAATTGGCCCAGTTTGTTTTCATTTCATGATTACTTTTAGGACCAATATTCATCGCCATTGTGGTACAATGCCGAGGGTTTATCCCTTTACCACTCTGTATCATATGTACTTTCCTGTATGGGATACAACTAGGTTCAAGCAATTGTTTGCCCTACACCTAGCCCGATCCTTCATTTAAGTCCCGTGCGATCTGTACACCATCCGAATAACTTTAACCCCATTATCCTTGGCTCGTCTTTCCCGCGCTGGCACATCCTGCCAATTCAGATGCGGCTACCTAACCTTATTTGAGACTGATTGGGTAACATATGGGATCACTAGGTACTTGTATATATTAATCTTTACGATCAGTCTCGTACCTAGCTGACACTAAACCCATGCTGAGTTTCACAGCAGTGTTGTCACCAGTGTGTCTTGGTAGTACATTGACATTCACTCTTTATAAGCATGTTTCCTTTGATTGTCATCCATTTCAGAGTTTTCAACACAAAATTCAGATTCCACAGACCCCCAAAATAGGGATATCAACAATGGAATCACCTGAATTGATGAACACAATAAGGAAATCTGACTTCCACATTTGGCGGCCATCTTGGAATTTTGAATGGCCAATCAGATAGATTTGATAATTAACCCTTATTTAAGTTTATGCCAATTTTCATACTTGTAACGCCATTTGCAAGATCTCATCCACGTACCATAACCATCCTTCCTCCAGTACAACTATGACACGATACATTTATTACGCACTTATCCTATTTCAACAACACACGTCATGTTGTTAAGTAGTGAGAAAAATATGTACGCAGTGGTGATAAGCAACAGTCATAATCATAAGATAAATTTAATCGTCTTTTCTGCATTTTGTGCAGCCTTTGCATATTTCTTAACTTAGTTACCTATGTTTGTAAAGTATGAGTATCATATTGTCTGTAGATGATAAAATTTGGTCTTGATGTGACCGTGCTACTCTATCTGTCAGTGGATTATTTACATTACTGGCACTCGGGTATTTAGGTAATCAATAATTGGTAATATGTACTTGAAATAATTTTTATTTTGACAAGTATCATATCAGTATACAACAATAATAATAACACTGGTCAACATAAAAAAAAATTCTCATGGATCTGGATCAAAACAGTCTGATTCTAGTGTAATTGTATGTGCTGAACTCAATTATGACATTCGTATAGCTGTATCAGGCTCAGTTTTCCAGAACCAGCATATCTATATATTTAGTGAACCATGCTATTCATACAGTAATTTATATGCTCATTGGCTCCACTTATGCAATTATTTTGTCCTGATTTGTGCTTTTTTGTTTGTTTCAGTTTGCTGATTCATGATATTGCATATCTACACCTGCATCATTTGTAATTACTCTGAAATTAACAAAACATGGAACGTCGCAAGTGTGTGAACGGTGCTGACAGTTTTTGCTACATATGTGGTGCCTTCACTCCTGGTAGCCTCAAGAAACCAATCACAAAAGCTGTTCGACTGAACTACAAAAGTTACTTCAAATGTCATTTGGGTGACTAAGACAAGAAATGGGCACCTCATGTAGCCTGTAAGTCTTGTGTTAACCACCTGAGCGAGTGGATGTGTGGTAAACGAAGTTCAGGAATGCCGTTTGCTGTACCAATGATATGGCGTGAACCTAAAGACCACAGTAGTGACTGCTACTTCTGTCTCACAAATATTAAGGGAATAAAAATCAAGACACGAGGCAAGGTACAGTACCCCAATATTGCTTCTGCAATCCGACCAGTACCGCACAGTGCTGAACTTCCAGTCCCAAATCCACCGACTGAACAAGAATTGAGTGATTCCGATTCTACCTCTACCTCAATGGAAAACGACTACCAGGATGACTCTGAAAATACCAGGCCTAAACTATTTACTCAAGAAGCGCTTCATGATCTCATCAGGGACCTAAACTTGTCAAAAGAAAAGGCTGAAGTTTTGGGATCCAGACTAAAGCAGCGTAACCTGCTAGAAGATGGAGTGCATATCACTACAGCGCGTTACCGACATAGACAGCTGTCTGCATTTTTCAAGATGGCAAACAACCTTTGTTATTGCGAGGACGCAGTATCTCTCATGCAACAACTCTGCAAGTCTGAAACATACAAGACAGAGGATTGGAGGCTGTTTATAGACTCAGGAAAAGACTCTCTGAAAGCTGTTCTTTTACACAATGGCAATCGGCTTCCATCTGTCCCAATAGCACACGCAACAAAAATGACTGAGAGCTATGAAACAATGAAAATTCTGTTGGCCGCTATAGAGTATGAGAAACACCAGTGGAAGATATGTGGCGATCTCAAAGTCATCAGTTTACTACTGGGCCTTCAGAGTGGCTACACAAAGCACATGTGCTTTTTGTGCTTGTGGAACAGCAGAGCTGATGCAGAGCACTATGTGAGAAAGGATTGGCCGACAAGACCAAGAGATGCGCCTGGAAGGTTTAACTGTGCTCACAATCCGCTTGTAGATCCAGAAAAGATATTTTTGCCTCCACTGCATCTAAAGCTCGGTTTGGCTAAAAATTTCATCAAAGCTATGGATCAATTCGGTGCTGGGACTCTATACTTATCTCAGAAACTAGGTGGTGTGATTTCCGAAGCCAAGTTGAAAGCAGGTGTCTTGAATGGACCACAAATTCGTATACTAGTTAATGATAGCGAATTCACCAAAACATTGAACCCACTGGAGAAAAAAGCATGGGAATCATTTGTCAATGTGTCAAAGAATTTTCTTGGAAACTATCGTGCTGACAACTACAAAGAAATCGTAACAACCATGCTTCAGAATTATCATGCATTGGGAGCAAGGATGTCCTTGAAATTGCATTTTTTCCACTCTCATATTGAATTTTTCCCAGGTAACCTTGGAGACGTTAGTGATGAACACGGCGAAAGATTTCATCAAGATATCGCCATAATGGAGAGCAGATATCAGGGACAATTCAGTCCTAACATGATGGGCGACTATTGCTGGACACTGCAACGAGAAGAGAGCAAGCTGTATAAGAGAAAGAGTAAAGTTCAGAAGCACTTTTAGAACTTCATATTTTGTCATTATAAAGGATTTGAACTTATGTTTTTTGGTACAATTTTTTATGAGCTTATCTGTGATAGGTTTAAAATTGTATCTTGCATGACGCGATAATGTTACTATATTTACTATTTTTTTTATTCTTTAAGAAAGTAGGTCTGATGGTAGAATGAAACATCCAATTAATATTCATTAATATGAAATTAGTCATGAAAGCACAGTCACATGAGATAATCTCATTCTTTGCACGACACCTGATGGAATATTAAATATTTGTACCTATTGATTTTTTTTTATAAAACCTGGTCTGATAGAACAAAACAAATATCAGATTCGAATTCAGCAATATGAAATTAGTTGTGTGAGCATGATCTCATATGTGAACCGTTTTGGCTGTTGACCAATGTAATCAATGACCAATCTCACTTGAGTCACACGACTTGTGAGTAGCAACATGGAATCTCCTGGGCTTGGGGAGATATTCTTCCACAACCTTTATAGGGTCATAATACTGAGCTCGAGACCATGCACATTTGGCGTGATGTGATGTAAACAGTTCACAATTGTATTTGATGCTTTATTTTAATGTTCAGTTTTCACACGACCCACATAAAAAAAACGCTTGAGGAAGTCTTAATTGAATCCCAGGTAACCAACTTAATTAAGGTTTTGAAAGTTTCGTGAGACTCTTCTTGAGAAATTCAGTTATATGCGGGGCTCCTTCACCCACCTTTGGCTTTTCATAGTCTCCACCGAAGTAAGCATGAACTTTGGCTGGCACAAGATGTTTAGTACCATCCGTCTTCAGACACATTACTTCAAACACCTTCATAACGTGTGCCATTGTATCCTCTTCCTTCCATTGGATTTTCTTCTCCCGTTTCACTTGTAGCAGCTTCAGGAAGGAATTCTTGAAGCAAAATCCTGCAGGAATAGGGATACTCCAGTAGCGGGAGTCCCACCAAGAAAATTGGTTCTTGACGTCTCTGGGCATCCAGGGTTCAGCCTTCATGTAGGAGAGGAGAGTCTTGCCGGTGAGAAACACTTGGCGTTCCTGAGGAGCCAACTTCTTCACCACCTCCACCTCAGTTGCGGCGAAGCTGCAGCGCCATTTTTCATCTTCGGTGTTACTGAGGTGGATCATTTGTGAGTCGTCGGGTGTGAGGGGTGGTCTCATTATCTCCTTAGGCCAAAGTACAGATAGTACTGGAACTAAGTCAATGTCAACCAACAGCAAGGGATACTCACTTCCCTGCCAAGCCAGTGACAGGGCCAGGCCCACCTGCGTCCTGGTCACACCAGGTGGCACAAGGCTCAGTCTTTCGTCCTGCAGTACGTAGCTCTTAAGGCTTTCTCTTACTCGGTCATACAGGTTACTCATCAACCTATTACCCTGAAGACTCGGGTTTTCTGTTTCAATGTCAATTTTTAACTTGTGGCCGCTTAACAAGACATCCTTCTTTGGTTGTTTAATAATTCTAACAGTGACGTCAGAGAAGCTCTTGAGTGTAAGATTAAAATCAAATTCATCAGGACAATAGAGCCTTGTGGAGTCTGCAGTGCTCCCAAGCAGCGTGAGTGTGCCAGTGTACGTACTGTCAATATCTGCAACTTTGTCTGTAATTGCCTTCATCTCCTTTGTTATGACTTCCTTCACTTCTTGGGCCTCACTTTTAGTGTAATCAACAGTCACCTTCGGTGCAGTTTTCACCAAGTTTTTAATATCAGTACGTTTGAGAAGGTTTATGGTGGCATCTATCGGGTTGTTCTCTACGTGTGCTTGGTTTGATTCACATTTGTTATACGTCTTCAGGTACTTTGAGAAGTTGTTTTTGACATCTGTTGGAGTAGTTCCAGCTCTACAGGAAGGCTCTTGATGATCTAGAAACTCTCTAAACAGCTCAAAGGCCTTTTGGTGACCAAACATAGCAGCCAAATGTGGAGCTGTTTGCTTGTATAGATCAACGAGTAGCGGGTCAGCACCAAGACTCAGAAGGAGGAGGACGCTACCAGATTTGCCATGCGAGGCAGCTTGGTGAATGGCAGTCGTGCCATTAGTAGGATCCACTTGTGTATCAACTTCCACACCTCCCACCTTCACCAGGAGGTAGATCAGTTGCAGCATCCCACCCTGAGACGCTGTGAGTAGGACCTTGGCTTTGTTGAACGGCTCTTCACCTATGGTTGTGGCTGTGTTCCCAGTTATCGTGCCCCAGTATGTGTTGAAGAGGTTCTTCTGAACACGGAGAAGTTCCTGCACCTGCTGTTTCTCTACTTTGTCTCTGATCTTAAGGTGTAGGTCTTCAAGTTGTATCCTTTCCTTGTCGTAAATATTCTGCCAAAAATATATTATTTATTATATTTATATATATATATATATATATATATATATATATATATATATATATATATATATATATATATATATATATATATATATATATATATATATATATATATATATATATATATATATATATATATATATATATATCACACTGTAGGTGCAAGGTGATTTAGGTATATGCTGATAACCACAAGGAAAGAAAAAACACGAGTTCTAAGTTCTGAAGATGTGAATTACATGAAAGCGCTTGGGAACTGTGTTTTCTTTCCTTGTATATATATATATATATATATATATATATATATATATATATATATATATATATATATATATATATATATATATATATATATATATATATATATATATATATATATAAAACAAAATATGTCTGTGTGTGCTTGTTTGTGTGTTTGTGTGTATGTGTGTCCGCACGAGATTCTCAGAAACTACTTTACCGATCTGTAGTGATGACGATGGTGTTATATGTAGTGATGATATATGATATGGAGATTATTATATGTAGTGATGACGGATGGTGTTATATGTAGTGATGATGATGGATGGTGTTATATATAGTGATGATGGATGATTATTATATGTAGTGATAATGGATGTTGTTATATGTAGTGATGATGGGTGGTGTTATATGTAGTGATGATGGATGGTGTTATATGTAGTGATGATGGATGGTGTTATATGTAGTCAAGATGGATGATGTTATATGTAGTGATGATAGGTGGTGTTATATGTAGTGATGATGGATGGTGTTATATGTAGTGATGATGGATGGTGTTATATGAAGTGATGATGGATAATGTTATATGAAGTGATGATGGGTGGTGTTATATGTAGTGATGATGGTTGGTGTTATATGTAGTGATGATGGATGATGTTATATGTAGTGATGATTAGACAATAAAATAATAACAGTTTAATGCTAAAAAAATATACTTTGCTGTACCATTGTAGTGTAAAACATGGTGGAACTTACATACACCGTTAATGAACTATTGATGGAAGAAGAAGTTTTGGGGACTGAACAGTGAGACAATGTGGAGCCTCCCGGAGGGTGGCGTCCTACCGTGGCCTAGCGGATGAGCCGCCCAAAGCGAACAGCGGACAGTCGGTTACAGGAAACCGATCAGGAAAGGGAATCCCGTCTTAATGCTCAGAGAGAGCGAACAGCGGACAGTCGGTCACAGGAAACAGATCAGGAAAGAGAATCCCATCTTAATGCTCAGAGAGAGCAAACAGCCGTAAGTCGGTCACAGGAAACAGACCAGGAAAAGGAATCCCGTCTTAATGCTGACAGATAGCAAACAGCAGAAGGGCCTTCTCTAGAAAATGATCAAGTGCATAAAATTCGTTTGAATGCTAATAGACAGAGAGCTGCGGGATCCAGAATTCTGAGAAATTATAAACAGTGGCATCCACTTGCAAGAGCAGCATTTAACTATGACAATGAGATAGAATATGAAAAGTATGCCTCTGTTGTCATTGGCAACATGGATAAGAAATGTGAACACTGCGGTGCAAAGAAGTATAAAGGAGAATCTGCTGGATTGTGCTGCTCTCATGGGAAAATACGACTGCCAAATTTGGAAAAACCACCAGAACCATTGAAGACTCTCATGCTGTGAACAACACCAGAGTCAAAACACTTCTTGGAAAATATACGGAAGTACAATTCATGCTTCCAGATGACATCCTTTGGAGCTACCAGAGTAGTTCGTGAGCACGTTTACATACCAACATTCAAAGTCCAGGGTCAAGTCTATCACAAAGCAGGATCCCTCTTACCAATGGAAGATGAGCAGGCAAAGTTCCTCCAAATCTACTTCATGGGAGATCATGAAAAGCAGACTACTGTCAGGTGTGGCAATATTCAAGGTGTCAGACATGACATTGTCCTATCTATCCAAGAAATGCTGCATGAGCGCAACACGTATGTACAGTCATTTAAAAATGCCCTGGAAAACATGCCTTCTGACGAGTACAAAGTCAGGATCAAAGCAGACACGACCCCTAAGGGAGAACATGAAAGAAGATTCAATGCTCCAGTAGTTGATGAAGTAGCCATCCTGATTGTCGGTGAAGTGTTTGAGAAACGAGACATCATACTCAAAATGAGAGACGAGTCGCTCACAAGAAGAACATGATGCCACATGTACTGAAAGCTACAATACTGACAGGAAAAGCTAAAGGAGAGGATGTTTTTATACCAAGGATACCTCTCATCACCACTGACCTACCATTTGAGTTTAAGCGACTTCAGTTTCCGGTTAAAGTGAGCTTTGCCATGACCATCTACAAAAGCCAGGGACAGTCCCTAAAGATGGTTGGCCTAAGCCTGGTGTTTCCTTGCTTCTCTCATGGACAGTTCTATGTTGGATGCTCCAGAGTGGGAACTGGCAAAAATCTGTACATACTTGCTGCTAATGGCAAAACCAAAAATGTGGTCTACCTTAATGCACTACACTGAGACAATGTGGAGCCACCCGGAAGGTGGCGTCCTACCGTGGCCTAGCGAAAGAGCCGCCGGGAGTATATATATATATATATATATATATATATATATATATATATATATATATATATATATATATATATATATATATATATATATATATATAGGCGATACTGAGTTTTCAAGGTCGACTGAGGGAGGAGCGCTCCCGCACGTAGTGAGAACTTTTGGAACTGGGCCTATACGATATTAAATGTAATTTACCGGATTAATATGGACGCGAATCATGAAATTAAATGACATTATTTAATTTGACATTTTTATGGATCGTTTCTCAGTCTAAATATGTTACGTGTGTCCCAATGAAGCTATTAGTTATGAGGGAAAATAGGTCACCTAGGCTTGGGAAAGCACGAGCCTGCCTGTTTCTCAGTCAGACGACAGCGTTCGAACAGAGAGGACGGTCTGTGCGTCAGACAGGACAAATTGGTCACGTGGTCTAGTCACCTGTGTTGCGACATTGCAGTATAACAAGTAAGTCTCATTCGATCTCAGACAGGGTTTAGATAGGGCAGTGATAAAATGAGTAATAGCTAACAGTGAGTTCATTGCAGGGTTTTCGTCAGAACCCATTTGACTGAGAGTGATGAATGCCATTGATAACTGATGATTAGTGATTGTCGCAGTTGGAACGATCAGTGCAGGCTTTTCACTGGTTAGCTGGGTTAGCAAGGGATCTCTGAAGTGAAACCAGCTGTCTGGGTGCACAACTGACGATCGTCTAGGGTCGCCAGATCTCTTCTACCTCGGCTCACAATATCACATATATTCAAGCAGTGAGTGAAAACCTTTTACTACGAGAAGCTAAAGCTTCTCTCAACTGAACAAGGTCTGATTGGCCCACTCCCTTCCGTTTCATGGATGTACTGAGTGTAAAATGAGGCTAGCTGAGCGAATGTATGGTCACACACTGAGACCAGGAGTCTAGTGGGTACTTAGAGGTACATTTTCCAAGGTGGAGAAAGGCTTGTTTGTGCCTTAACTACGGGTGCCAGTTGGTTGTGCCTTAAAAACTATGGAGTGCAGGTGGATTCTATGTGTTAGGTTAGGGAGCATGTGTTTATGGGTATTGGTGGACTCGGTAACTTCTTAATCTAGTGATAATATTTTTTTTAGTTACTGATATTGTCTTATTGTGTGTAATTAATATTTCTTAAATAATCTTGATATTATTGTTTTTTAATGTTTTTGTCAGTAATTGATGCCAGAGAATGAGGGAACTGTTTTCAGATGAGGTTCCTCCTTTCCGTTGTAAGTGATACTGCGATTTAGTTCCTTTAATGCAGTTAATATTTCTTTATAATTTCTAGCTTTATACCATTTTCTGTTGGTAACATAATTTTATTGAGTGCCCTTAAGGCCTATTCATTGTGGAGTTAATAATTTCTTATTTTTATACCATTTTTCTCAGTGATTGATATCATTTTGTTGAAAACCCTAAGGCCTGTTTCATGTGTGCAAGCAACATTTCATAATACTTTGAATTTATTGTTGTCTAATGAGGCATTTTCTGAGTTTCTAATAATTTCAATATCATGTATAACTTTTATTCCCCAGAATAGTGTTTTAAGTTTAGGTTAAGAGGTGCGCATATGTTGGTGTACCATTATTTGATTGTGTCTGTAGTGTTGGAGGGAATATAAGTGTCTAAATTTTACAGTGTGTCTCATTCATCCCAGTCACAGATACTGTCCTTCCACGGGTCACGGACAATTCATTTTGTTAGTAAATTTAAGTGTTCTTGTGCTGGTTCGGGTTTTTTCTCCAAGGAGCGCTTCCACTGCAATTTCCATCTGATAATATTTAATAAACCCCGAGTCAAGTGAAAAAAAAATTCCATCAATTCCGAACAACCAATCCGCACCATCACTTAGGCAATACAAAGGACACTCTCCTACTAACTCGATAATAGACAAACAAAACTACAGTTCAAATACTCAAAAAGTAACCTAAAAACATTAGAACAGGAATATAACCCAAAATGGTGAAAAAAACGGCGAAAACAAAAATAAAAGTTATCGTACAGGAAGGCCAACATGAACAGCTTCACAGTTAGAACTGTTCTTTTAATACCAAACTAAGATGTTTCTGGTCACATCTGAAGAATGGCAACAAGAGACCTGAAGAGAATATATACCTGGTCGGCCTCTACAAAGATGACCAGTCGGCAAACCTACAGTATATCAAGATGGATGAATGGAACAAGACTGTTTGAAGGAACGGGGATGGATGGAATTCAGAGCAGGTGAAGGCCTTCGTCAAGACGTTTTTGTGTAGAGAACATTCGTCAAGGGTCTCCCAACCGATACACAAACAAAGATATCTGGGTGAGAAGTGGGAATTTTTTTGCACAACTTCAAAGTGAATCAAAGATTTTATTATCCAATTATGAAATGATAAATTCGCCCAAAATTTCTTTGTGGAATTAATATTGCTGGTATTATCAACTAATAGCTTTTTAAATCCTCAGTGAAATATCTTACTTATCAATTTTTGTATTCACATATTATATACCACAATCTTTCTCATCTCATCTATAGCAGAGCCTTACTGAGGTAACCAAATACTTACTGATGGTTTGATAATTGACAAAAATACAGACCTGCTCTAGCTGCTGGCGGAGGTGTGAAGACATCATGGTTGTGGGCAGTCGACCTCCAAAGTCAGTTACATACAGGCAACCTCCCATGTTCTTCAGCATTTGCCTCGCCAGGTTCCAGTGACCAGCCTCCAGCGCAGCGTGCAGGGGACTCACACCGGACTCGGTACACAGGGAGGACTGACCACCAGCCTCGTGGATGAAGCTGCATGTCAAAGTACACTTGGAACGAACAGCCTGGACCATAAGCTCTGTCAGGTGGAAGACTGACCCGCCACTGGGCCAGCTGGCTCGCCAAGAGTTGTCACATCTCATGGTTGATATGAGTTGACCAACACCTTCTTCAACTTCTGGGAAGTGTGTCAGGTTGGTACGTTCATACTCCAGAACATGAAGGAAGGCCTGAAGATACATAACACATTGATAATATACTCTAAAATGTATGTTGATAATTAATCAATGAATCAGAGTACCGTCCTCACGTCTATGGATTGGTGAGCACAGTCCTCCACTTTAAATATTTTCGGGTTATTTTTATCAATCCTCCGAGATTTTTCGTCTCTCTGGGGACCCAGTTTTTAATTTCATTCATCCATCCTAGTTCCTGCTCTCCCCTGTGCCCTCCTACCCTCAACTTCGCCCAACTTTGTTACTATTCTTTCATCCCTGATCATATGACAAAATCATCTAGTTTTCCTTATTATGTAAATTTCAAGTATTTCTTTTAAAGTTTTTGCCAGTCTTAGTAGTTTTTCATTTGCTTTCCTGCCAGTGTAACTTATTCGTAACATTTGCCTATAACACCGTATTTCAAAGGGTTCCAACCTCTTTCTGGTATCTGATGAAAGTGACAATAAACGAGTACAGTATATAGCATTTTAGCAACCTCTTTCACAAATTAAAGTTGATGTCTCTTTTCATTGGGGCGTTTAGATTATTAAAAATTGTTTTTTCTTGAACCATTTAAAGGGTTCCCGAGATCGAGAAGATATAAGAGATTATTGTAAAATCAAGTCGGGAACTAACCACGTAATATTAACTTAAGTTTAGCTAAATATAGACGAGTATATAAAAAGTATAAAAGCCCCCACACTCCGCTGCTGAGTGAAATGTAAGGGAATATGCAGTTGTCAAAAGTGATTACACCAACGTAACTTGACTCCCCAGTTCGATCACACCCAAATTCTATAATTATAAAGACCTTGGCCACACCAAGGCACTAAAGGTATAGCCGCACTAACCGAGTCGGAATCCTGTGCTTCGTTTCTTCTTGTCTATCACATGTTTAGGTCAAAATGTAAGCTAGTGTGGTCGCATCCTTACACCTCATATAGGTCTACAGCACAGCAACGTCTCTGAGCTTGATTTAAATTGCCAAGGTTTTTTTTTTTTTTAGATGCAGCTCATGTCCATGACTACACTATCATTCTACACTACATCCACTACTCAATCTGCAATACATTCATTACGCTATCTACACTATCATCTACACTACAACATGTACTCTTCATTAAGTACACTCTCAACTACACTACTTAAACTGCATTTTCATTTATACTACAACATTGTACTCACCCTTGTGATGATGACCTGGATAGGAGGAGTGACATCAGGGGAGAGCCAGGCAAGCGTCAGCAGGTTGAGGCCGTTGCAGGTGGTGGTAAGAGGCGCCCCTGCCGCCAGCAGAAGGCTGACCATTTCGCGCCGGTTACTGGCAATGGCCAGAGGAAGGGGCTGTGTGGATGAGCCACTCGGAGACTCCAAGGGCGCTCCTGAACACAGCAGATGACACCCCTGCTTGAAGTCGTCGCCTTGGGTGATGAGAGATAACAACTGGTCGTACAGCCCATTTGGTGACCCTTGAACCTGTGTAAGACAAATTCTGTACTGGTGTTGCTGTTCAGGTAATGGGAAACTAGAAACTTTGAAAGTACAGAGGTTACAAGAGTACTGTTGTATGTATACTGTAAGTATAATGGAGTCACGAGAACTTGTAAAGATACAAAAGTTATACTGGCGCTATTGGCTGTTGTCCAGCCAATGATGAACCTTCCAACGATAAGGTACAAACTATTCATCGGTACTGTTGGACAGATAATAGTGACCCTTGAAACTGAGGAAGGCACAAACATTACAATAACAATATTGCATGCCATACAACACTACGGAAGGGGCCCCAAACGTATTTTTGTGACCCACACTTCAGCAGTGGTATTTTCATATGCATATAGCAGCTCTATGATGTAACAAATGGTACTCAGTAATGGCTAGTGCTACTTGTGAACAGGGCTGTGCCCTTCTGAGGGCCCAGTTAGAGAGGGCCAAGGAAGATATCTTAAAATTAAAGGAAGAGATAGCGAGGATGAAGGAAGAAACCAGGCAAGGAAAGCCAGTGTCTGACGAAAACTCAGGCGAATGGAAGGTTGTGAGGAGAGGGACGACTAAACTGGTGGTGAAAAAACACACCAAGGATACAACAACAACGACAACAACAGCTAAGTGTACCAACACTTTCAGCCCTTTGATAGATGAATTGGACGTTAGTATAGTCAGGGACAAGGCTGACAAGGAAGGTACGAAAATCTTGATTGTTGGCGACTCCCAGGTATGGTACCTGGACAGAGCTTTTTGTGGTAAAGATAAAAATAGTATGAGGGTGTGTTTGACAGGAGCTGGGGTGGGGGATATAGTTGACAGGATGGACAACATCTTGTCTGGTAATGGGAACAAACCCATTATCTGCCTTAGTGCAAGAGGCAATGATAGGTGTAGGAGTGAGGAGCTTCTTGATAAGTTTAAGACAGCTATAGAAAATATTAGGTCTAAGGGAGGAATCAAATCATATGTGGTGTCCTGCCTAGAAGGAGAGTTGGCAATGAATGGTAGTCAAGGGCAGTTGGTGTGGCCGTCTTGACAGATATTTCAAGTCAATATCAGTCCCATTCATTGACAGCTGGGACAACGTCTATGGCAGAAAGGACCTTTATGCTAGGGAAGGGGTGCATCTGTCTAGAAATGGGGTGGCAACCTTGGCTGGGTCTCTCGAGAGGGCAGTTCAAAAGATGTCAAAGTCTATAAACTGCTAGGAGAACATATGAGCACGGGGGTGGAGGAGACTGCAATGGGAGCGGGAAAAACAAAGTGAAAGGTTACAGCGAAATAGTGCTCGGAATTATGACAAAACTAAATTAGGCACGGAGTTAAAACCTATACGCGACAAAGAGAGGACTCAGAACACGACTAACTTGAATGTCTACTATGCAAACAGTAGACTTATGAGAAACAAAATGGATGATATTAGGGCTTTGGTATTAGGGTGTGTCATAGGAGGGAAGATCAGCTAAAACTAATGGCCCATCACTTTTTTGGTAGATTTTAGTGTATATAAACAGAAAATAATTTCAGTTTCAATATTTTGCAACCTTTTGCTAGGTAAACTTTAGCGTGAAATTTATCGAAAATCTAACGTACAGCTGCATTAGTGCATTACAATTAAATAGTGAACATTGCTTTCTGACTTCATTCTTTAACAACCCAACTAACAATATTTTTTTCTGTTTCAGATTCTGATGCATTTATAATTTGATAATATTTGCGATGGCTGCTTGTGTCAGGACGAGGAACCAAAAATCCAGCCATCTCAGTCACTATCTTGGGTCTGGGAGAGACCTCCTGAAGTCGGAGTTGCCTACATTGAGAGATGCTTTGAGATACGGTGTTTTAATCAGGCAAATCAGTGAAAAGAACCAAAGAACTTACACAAACAAAGACATTGCCAGTGATATGACCAAAGCTGTCTTGGCACAGTACACTCTGGCTAACGCTCAGTTCAAGCCTCCAGTCATAACAAGTCAGAAGATTAGTGAGAGACTGCTAGCCAGTTGGGAAAAGGCAAGAGATATCTCTCTTGGGAGAGGAAAACTTGCAGTTAAGGACAGCTTTGCCAAGCAACTGGACCAGTTATTTGACATAATTACTTGCAATTGTGGTGTTCTCTGCCCTGAGTTTGGATGCGATCGTGACTGTAAATCCAGGGCCCACATCCTCCTGTGTTGCAGCGTGAACTGAAGATTCCTGTGATCCAGGGCAGCATTGTCAAAGCTGAAGAGAAGACTAGCGATATAAGGGGCTCTCGCGTTCTAGCCAAGATATTCCGGAGTCAAGACAGGAGGCTGCCACAGAGAGACAGAAGAGGAGAAGAGTTGCCGAGGAAAAGAGACTTGAGAAGGCCCAGGGTGAGGTAAAAAAGGCCGATGATTGGAGTAAAGCTGATTCAGAGTTTAATGACTTCCCCATGGCTGATCCGAGTGCTGACCAGGAGAATGGTGACTTTGTCCCTAACCCAGAAAATAATGATCCCAAACCTTCCAGGCATAAGATTCGAAATAGGAAAGATATCCCGAGTATAGCTCTGGCCAGCATAAAACTTTACTGGTCTCAGAAGAAACTGCAGGGAATAGCAACAGCGCCTGGATTGACGGTGGTTTGATAACACCTGATGATGTTCACCTGGTGATAGATCATAACAAAATGTAAGGCTCAGGAGAAACTTGTCAGTAACCTAGAAGAGGTTTGATAAGGATAAGAAAATGAGATCAATTGTTTGTTCTTTGATGGAGAAGGATGACACTAAAATGTTCGCATAGTTGGAGATTGTGATAGAATTTGTTCCCTGCCATGGTGAAGGAGGAACACTATTCCTGCTGCAGTGAACCAGGAGGGAAGTATTTGTGGCATTTCACTCCAGAGAAAGATGACATCAGGAAACCAGCTGAGATAATGGCAGATAACATTGTGAACTGGCTCAGAGAGAGGAACGTAGACCAGACCTTGCAGGCCATTGGAGGGGACAGCACCAACACGAACACAGGGTGGCAAGGGGGGGTCATACAGTGGATAGAGCTGAAGATTGGGAGGAAGCTGGTCTGGATTGTTTGTGACCTCCACACCAACGAGTTGCCACTCAGACATCTGATCCAGGAGCTGGATGGCAAGACTCTTTCAAACAACAGATGGTCTGGTCCTCTTGGCAAGATGCTGGACTTTGCCACTGAGTTAGAAATAAATCCGAGCTTTGAATAAATCACAGTTGGCCCTCCACTCGTTGAGCTTGCACATACTGTCATTGGCGACCTGAGTACTGACCAGTACTATGGTTACATGATTTGCAGTGCCATCAAAACTGGGGTCATGCCTGATAGACTTGCTTACCTGCAGATAGGTCCAGTCTCACATTCTAGGTGGCTCACAACGGCTCTCAGGTTCTGCAGAATTTGGGTCGCTCTTCATAAACTGAAAGGGAACCAGCTTCACAACCTGAGACTTATTGTACAATTCATCGTGAGTGTCTACTTGCCAAATTGGTTCAACACCAAGGTCAAGTCATCGTTCTCCGAAGGTCCGAGGCATGTTCTCTTTCAGCTTGAGCTCCTGAGGAGTCAGCCAAGGAAGGTTGTTCAGATTGTGGAGCAGACTGTGAGGAGATCTTCCTGGTATGCTCATCCCGAGGCAGTTCTGCAGACAATGCTCTGCAGTAAGGATGAGGAGGAGAAAAGAGTGGCAGTCAAAAAGATCTTGGATATGAGACTTATGAGAGGATCTGGGCATGACGACCAAGTTGGTGACGCATTCCTTCAGGGTCAGGAAGACTCCTGAAGTCAATCTATAGGTGCCAAGACCCTCACTGATCTCATAGATCTGATAACATCCAGGTGCTGGCAGTGAGTTTCTCTTACCTGCAGCCTCACCAATGTTCAAGTCAGAGCTTTCCTGACAACCCCATGTGACAAGTCCCTGCCTCCGGGCCCTCGCCGCACACCCAGAGTATAGAGCTGCCAGGTACAGCAAGTGAGCCGCAGGCCAGCAGTCACGTGTACAGCCAGGGAGAGGAGAGGGAAGGCTACATCCGAAAATTGTGGTGGTCAGCAGGGAGGTATCGTGCAGAAGTCGGCAGCGTTATGCTCTCTATGGTGTGCAGCAACACCGGTCGTAGTAGTAAAACCGTTTTGTATTTGATGATTTTGTTTTCTAAAGGAATATTAAATTTAATAAATGTGTCAAGATCATTCGTTTCACTATTCTGGATCATTTTCATCCTAATAAATTAACCTGATACATTTACTTTACTTTAAATATGCTATTTAGTGGTGTTGGTAAAAGGGTGGGAATACTGAATTTTCATAAGATTTCAAGTTAAAATGTACCTAGCAAAAAATGAAAACTTTTAAAATCTGAAGATATCACATGATTCTGCACATAGAACTACATCATTAATACCATGGGCCGATTTTTCAAACTCAAAAAAAAAAATTCGCCTCCGTATGACACACCCTACTTTGGTATGTACCGAAAAATTCGATATAACAGAATTCACCGAAACATGGATAAACATAGACTCACGTGAGTTACCTGTCGAATACCAAATTGCAGGTTACAAATTATTCCATACAAATAGGCAGATTAGGAAAGGCGGCGGAGTAGCAATCTATGTCAGGGATAATCTGAAGTGTGAAATAATTAAGGAAATCAAAACTGAGCAGAATACAGAAACAATTTGGAAAGAATTAATCGATAGTCGGGAAAAATTCATCACAGGAGTAGTATATAGACCGCCTAATCTTGATTGAGTTAATGAGAAAACGAGCCTCACCTGGTGCCTGATCAAGCAAATGCTTATGAACAGATCTTGCAAGCGATACAAGCGGAGCAGGGAGGTATGATTTTTCTTGGTGTACCTGGCGGGACAGGAAAAACATTCCTGATCAACCTTCTGTTGGCCAAAGTACGTCATCAGGGGAAAATTGCTCTTGCTGTGGCATCCTCAGACATTGCTGTAACAATACTAGAAGGAGGACGTACTGCACACT